GAGTATTCTGAAAATTGGTGCTGAATAGCAAATACTGTGGGGTGATTTATTTCGCAGAGGAGCTGAATTACATTCCTTCCGTTGGCTTGTGGTGCAGAAAGATCGTGCAATTTTGTGCATGATTTAGGGTTATGTTATAAAACATTATATGAAAAATGGATGAACAGAACACCCATGTTCTTACAAAATATCTGCATGTGGAAAAATTTGGAAATCGTAATTAAGTGCCAATACCAACTCTGAGCTTGATAGGTGCAGCCACATTTGTTCTTAAATGTATTTATTGCCTTTGAAACAGAACTTCCAGAAAAAATAAATTAAAACCTTAGAGCATTGCAGTTTGATATATAAATGTTTTGCTATAAGAAATAATATTATTTCTAATAGAAAAAATAATATATACTGTATGAGGTGTATTTGGTTACTCTTCCTGGTGTTTATATGTTGGAATATCACTGATAGATAATGGTATTGTCATTTTTATAAGCAAAGCGAAGATAGCTTTAAAAGAGAGAGAGATGCATATGAGGTTACTGTACGCAGGCAGTGATTTGAATTCATTTATTTTTTTAATGGAAGAAAGTAGGCTGTTCTCTGGTAATATTATCAGGACTTTGTAACAAAAGACAATTTAAAGGTGTCTGTGCCTTGATGACCAACATGGAGAGAGAGAGAGAGATGGAGAGACTGACTTACCTAAAATATGCAATAAAAAAAGGAAAAAATACTATGCTGGTTAGACTCCAAAACATGAGCACAAATAAAATTCCAAAGGCAGTGTGCAAGAAATTAATGTAATTTTACAGTAGCCCATCTACAGAACAATGCATGGGGCATGTGTTCCATTCCCACTACTCAAATGAAGGAGATCTTTAAATATATACCTAAGTTTCTTTGATGGCTGCCACAGCAAAATTACTTGGGTAACTTTTTGGTTGATACATAATGGGAATTTTGTTCTGTTTTTGCTAATAAATATTAATTTTGTATAAATTGAGGAAGGTGAAATGGTAGCTTTAAATCATAGCTTCCAGTATACTTATTTAAATTTAAGTAATTTTGTGCATAAGTGTGCACTATATATAACTTGCTTGTATATAATATGAATGTGCCACAACATAAAATGTGGTGAGGAGGAATTTTGCATTATTGAAGGTGACTTCTGTTAAATGGTTTGGGTGTTTTGATATAGCTCAAGTTGACTTTTTCTTGTAAACATGTATGCACTGTAGTCTTCTCATCAAACTTGTTCCCTATAGGTCTAGATTTATGCTTATTCTACCTTCAGACAACTTTCAAGAAAATCATTTAATTGAACACCATATTTTGAAGAAAATTATTTTCTTTTCCTTGAGCCATTTGTTTATTGCTTATTAAGAGGCAATCTATTTAAAAACTTGGAGCACACTCCATCTTCATCAGTAAGGCTTTCTCTTATAAACCTCTGCCAGCATCATTAAACTCCATTAAAATCAATCTAGTTAGAGTAAGTTTTCAAAACTGTGGGAAGCGTTCCTGCCAAACACAAGTGGTATAGAATATGATCTGTTAGATGGGAAGAGTTTCTAGAATACAGAAATAGTGCATCTGAAAACTGTAGTTTGAGTTATGGTTTGGGTTGTTTGCATGGATTTCTCTGGAACTGTTAAATAATAACAACCATCTTGGTTAACTGCCAGCCTATAAAGAACAGCTTTTAGAATACCATTACTGTATGTATCTCTCAGTTCTTTGGGGGGACTGCTGCTTGTGTAGTCTTCCAACCAAATGGTACTTTGTGCAGTGTGATGGTAAGGTGGTGAAAGTCATTTCCTGAGGGGACTAAAAATATTTGAATTCATCTTGTGCCACACAACCTTCTTGGTGGTCAGTTAAAACTTTTTTAGACTCAAGGCACCGCTCAGAAAATGCAAGCTGAGTGGGCAAAATATAGCCCACAGGCCACATCCTCCGGCCGACCGATTGATTTGTATCCAGCCTGTAGTGCTCTGCCTGGGGCCAAGCCCCTCCCACTCCCGCCCACACCTGCCCCCTGCGTCCTCTGACAGCACTGCCCCTGCCCTGGCTCCAGCCCAAGCCAGTACACAGTTTTCCTGGTGAGGCTGCTGCTGCTGCTGCCTGGGTACTACTTGGCTCCCCCTGCCTTCAGTGGCTCCTCCTCCTCTCCTGCCTCTGCTGTGCCACTGTAGGCAGGGGAGAAGCTGCAGCCAGGTGGCTCCTGCCCCAGTTTGCAAGGGCCCAGCTCCAGCTCCTGATCACCTTCCTTCCACTGGAAGCAGGTGAGCTGAGCAGATTAGTACTTGGGCAGTTGCAGGAGCAGCCCTGCTAGGAAGCTGTGCATTGGCCAGGTTTGGGGCAGTGCCGTCCGTAGGCTCGGGGCAGGTGTGGGTGGGAGTGGGCAGGGCCTGGTCCCATGGTGGTGGTTGCATCTGTGGGCCATATAAGGGGTGCAGATCATATCTGCATCACACCACTGGGGCAAGCTCTGCTGCATGCTCTCTGCTTCACCTCCTCAGTCCCAACATCCCTGGCTGGCTCCCGGGACCTAGCATGCAGGCAGCCCCTTCCCATACGTGCACAACCACACCACACACCCCCGTACAACCCGCCATCCCCCCCCACAATATACAAGAATAAGACTTTATTCTGAGCTATTATGAAATTAATTCTATATACACTACTCCAGAGAACAAAAATCAGGACAAAATATCTTTTGAAATCACATTTAAATATTATTATAGATGTTTGACATTTTTTTAGTATATGATTTTCTTATCTATAATTTGTTAAAATGATCTCTTCTAAAATATTTTTGTGCAGCCCTCGACAGCTCACCAAAACTCGTTAAGTGGCCTGTCAGTTGAAATAATTGCCCACCCCAAGTTAAAACCATTGGGGAGCAACCACCATGGAGCATACACTCTGCACATCTAGGTTTTCAAGAGGCTTTTATCTTGTTAATAATCAATCAGTAATAAATTCTCTAACCTTTTCAAAGATTTAAGCTTTTTTGCGTGCTTTTAAGCCATGTGAAATAACATTGGTAGTAGGGTGCTCCTTCACAGCCTGTGACCATTATCATGGTGGTCTTAAATAAAGCAGGATTGTACAACTTCTAAGTGGCTGGGGGCTGCACACTCCTATGGCCACACTAGTATGAGCTGCACCATTGGCAACCTTGGGTCATACC